CACTCCAGTGTGGGCAACAGAGTGAGACTCCAACTCAAAAAAAATAAAATAAAAATAATAAAAAAGGAGGAAATTCTGCAACATGTGACCACCTGGATAAACCTTGAGGACATTATGTGGAGTGAAATAAGCCAGGCACCGAAGGATAATTGCTTCGTGACTCCACCTATATGAAGGATCTGAAATTGTCAAACTTGTAGAACCCAAGAGTGAAATGGTGGTTGTCGGGGGCTGGGGAGAGGAGAGATGGGGACTCTCTAATTAACGGGCGTGAAGTTTCAAGATGAGTAAGCTCTGGAAATCTGTCGTGCAACACTGTACCTGTAGTCACCAGTAATGTATTGAGCACTTAAGCATTTGTCAAGAGGGTGATCACGTGTTAAGTGTTCTTACCACAAATAAAATACAGTAGTCACTGTCTGATATCAGACGTGGCTGGCACTTTCTGTGTCACCATTTCTGATACCAGCTCCTCCCCTCCTTTCTGTGTCTGTCCCTGGCATCCACAACTATGAGGAAAAGAAACCTGAAACGCACAATTCAGGGGTCTGAGAGGCATGCAGGAATGTGGAAGCAGAGGGAATTATGGAGGTGAAGATACATGAGGGTAGGGAGGTAGCAACTGATGCTTCTTCGAAAGCCTTCAGCAGACATCCACTTCCATAGAGACACAGTACATAGCCCAGGGCAGACATGCAGGAAGAATGTGACTCGATGCAGGATGACGACCATGGGAGACTCAGCAGGAGCTTCCATGCTATTCTAGCATGTTAGTTTCCAAGAACAGCAACGCAGTGCTGACGTGGCTGTGGCCAGCCAGTGCCCATCCCATATTCATTCATTTGCATTAAAGCTTCTTCTCCTTGGAAATCTTCTTCTTTATGGAGTATGTCCACACTCAGGAGCAGCATTTTAGGTAACCACGTGGCATTCTCTCCACAAACTGGCTCTTCTCTATCCTCAGTGGGATGGTGGGCCCTTCTGGTTGCAGGAACAGATCCTCTCCAGGTACCTTAAGGGAAAGGTTTGCTGCACAGCTTCTTGTAGAATGTACTGGAAGACCCAGCACTGATGCAGCCCTGGGTACGGGCTCCTCAGCCTTGCCTCTGGGCTGAGGTCTTGCCCCCCAGCCTCGTTCTCCCTTCTTCCCAACCAGGTCATAGTCTTGAATTCACACCTAGTCGAGTGTCATGAGTTTACTCTCAACGCAGGCCTGCATGCTAGGTTCTTCTGGGATGTCTGTGACACCTCTTCCCGTGAGAGTAACATGCGGGGGGGTGGGGGTGGAAGTCAGGTTGGGTGGGAACTTTGAGGACTCCTAGGCTGGGCGTTGGTGGACTCTCCTGCATCCTGGGTCCTTATCTCTTCCTCAGAGCCTAGCCAGGGGGTGCAGTGAGTGGTGAAGCATCTTCTTCAAGATCATGTCCATTCATCCAAACATGGATCCGGCACCTGCTGTGGGCAGGCCCTGGCCTGGGCATTGAGAATCCAAGGACAAGAGGAGGACATGGTCCTGCCTTAAGATGTTCATGGACAGGTCAGAGCGGGGCAGTGTGGGAAGTGGCACCGTGGAGCTGCCCAAGGCAGGGGGATACACTGGAGCGCCTGCCCATTGGGCAGAGAGGGGCTGGCCTTTCGGGCAACACCCTAGCTCGTCTTCAAGGGGGTGCCAGGGCCAGTTAAGGCGTGAGGAAAGGGCAGCCCAGGGAAAAGGCATCCCTCTACTTTGGGCCAGAAACAAGAAGTGTCCGTGTGCAGGGAGCCAGCTCCAAGCTGCTGCTTTGCAAGAGGGTGTGAGATGGGATTGGAAAGGCAGGGCCATCATAGGGCTTCGCTTGCAGACGAAAGGGCAGGTGGGGCAAGCCAGGTGACCTGCAGAGGGAGTGCAGAGTCAGATGGAAGCAGAAGGCTCCATGCTCAAAGCTCCCTCCCTTTCGTGAATATGCAGCGCAGACGTGGCATCAGAAGAAGCTGGAGTCCTGACTGCTCTTGCTAGTTGCTTTCCCTTTAAGGTGAGGGTCATACGAGGATTCTGTACAAAAGTGTAGTGTGAGCAAGCCTCAGGGAGCAGCACTGCGACCTAGGCTTCATGGCAACTGAGCTGTGAACACCCCTGGACCCAAGGGGCTGAGGGGAGGTTCCAGAATCAGAGAGTCCAAGAGAGTGTGCTCCCTCGAGAGGAGCAAGAGTCTTCAGTCAAGGGGTGTGATAGTCTGAGAGCTGGGTGAGGGGTGCCAGGGCAGTGGCCCCCATCCCCAATCTCATCTCTACAGGGCTGACCCCTAGCCATGTCAGAGTTCCCTCCCATTCATCCGTACCTTCGGGTCAGCCTCCTGGGGTGTAGAGCACAGTGAGAATCTCGGGACTAATGGGAGATGTCGGGGACGCTTACCCACAGGGCTGAGGGCTAAGCGAGGTATGCAGCTGAGCTCTTCGTGGGGCTCCTGACACAAAATAGGTGCCCGATTGGGGCTGAGGTAGAAAAACAAATCAGAATCTAGGAGTGTGTTTGCGCATGTGTGCCACAGGCAGATGAAATGGTGAATGAAAATGACCACAGGAGAGACTGGGAGGTGTGCGCGCTCTTCCTGGAAGAGTCACGGTTTGAGGGAGGCTCTGAGAAGGGTACCTCTATTGAGAGTGGCAGTCACTGGGCTGGGAGATATTCTGAACCAGAAAGTTTGGAAGCCTAGAGAAATCGGGGGGTAGCTCTGTTGTCTTTGAGTACCCGTGGTGACATTATTTGCAGATTATTTAAAGGTTTTGTATGTAAGATAAGTCACACTTCCGGAATACTCACACACAGGGATTACAGGTGCAAATGGGCGGCTGACCCCATGATCACGGAATCCCACCTTCAGCATCTGAAGATAAACAGCCCGAAGTGGTACTTCTCCTAGGCTACCTCCACACCCACTTACTAATGACATCGCCTGGCCAGGGAGCTCTCTGCAAAGTTTCTAGATCTGAGGAAGATTTTACAACTTCTTTTTGCCCTTCTGTTATTTTTATAGTCCTTATTTTAAAATCTCTCTTAATTTTAACTTACTTAGTCCAAGTCGATCCATTTCCTTTTCTTCTGTCTCAGTACAACCGCATAAACACATTATTCTATATAAAAAGCAAGAAACAGAAAAGAACTCTGACCAGAAGAAACTGGAATATACATTAAGAAAGTTGGCTCACAAAGAATAAACCTTTCTCGGAATTTTCTTAAAGAATTTTTTCCTTGAAAAGAAAGCCAAACCATAAAACATACGCGGTTGTAAATAAACAGAAACCTCATATATCTAAAATTTAGGTTTTTTTCCAAGATGAACCAACATTTTGCTCTGTGTGCTTTTCCTAATATGCACATTTTATCATTTTGCCCAAATCCTCACTATGGGAGGAATATACATGCCCATCCCACAGCACCAGGGTTTCCTTGGGCAGTAAAGTATGTGCATGGTGGTTTCAGAGGCAGTGGCTCTTGTTCATTTTGCCAAAAGCTGAAGATCTTTAAAAATGAAATTTTCCAGGCTCTTAGCCCCAAAACAACCATGTGGGGATACATGATTTGGACTCTTGTGGGCCCACAGAATGTCTAACAGCCTTTAAACGTGTCAGTAGCCATTCCCCTGCACAGCAGTGGCCGGTGATACTCGTTTGGTGGCGGGAACAGCTGAGGAGTGGCAGTGCCAGGACAGCGTCTCTAACCTCGTTGCAGTTCATATTTGCTGATAGCCTGATCCCTTGCAGGTGGCAGTCTTCTGGCTCCTGTTAGCTCATTTTCCCTGAACCAGTCTCTAGGCTGCCGCTGTGTGTTGGGTCATGTGGAATGATTCACGGCTCATCTGGGGCGGAACTCTGTACTTGCACCCTCTGGGTTGTCACGGCCTCAGAAGCAAGTTCTGCACCTGGCCTTCCAGAATCGGGGGCTGCCCTCCCCTCTCTGTGGTCACCTGCCGCTGCAAGCTCATTCCCAGCTCCTCTTGGCTGTCCAGTCCCACACAGAACCTACCCCTGCCCCACGTGGGCCTTGGTCCTGTTCTCGGTCTTTCCTTAAGTGTCTTTGCCAGCCAGGCTGAGTTGTAGAGTCACAGCATCTTAAAGAAAGAATAGCAGGACTTTTCTAGTCTGGCCCTCTGCATTTTAAGATAAGGAAATTTGGGTCCCAAAAATGCAGCAGTGGCCTACGAATGGTAAGGTTGGCATCGGAACTGATAGCAGAACTGGAATGAGAATCCATAATTTATGAATGAACTGTAGTTGGTGCATTTAATCAGAATTTCTACTCTTACTAGATTTGTCAGATGAGTGTCCTTCCACGAGAGCCATATGTTATAAGTAACTTCCATCAGCATCCTAATATGACCTTTTAAAAATCCACTTTGAAGTGGTTTGGTGGAAGATGACTGGTATGATGATATTGCAGTCTCACAACTTGTGTCAACTCCTGTGGAAACGTACTGTGTGTTGGTGGACAAAACTGCATCCCTGTCTGGGCGTGATCAGGTGACTCGTGGCACCTCAGTACCCAAGGCTGTAAAATCTCGTTTTCTTCCTGTGGTGAGTTCTTCAGTAAAACAAACCTGGAAAGGCCCTGGAATGTTTGCTAAACATGTGCTGTGTTTGTGTCGTCCACCAGCCCAAAATCTAGTGGGGACAGTATTGTGGACAAGAAGATCAATAACACTCTCAGAAAGCTGTCTGGAGGTTTCTAAGGTGTGTGGGACTCTGTGGTCAACAATGTGTGGAGAGTTAAGGTGGACTTAAATATTTGTCCTTATCTTTCATCGTTACCTGAGTCAGCCCTGTTTGCTGTTTATCAACTCACCATATTACTTCTGTACCACCTATGCCTGTGCAATGTATGGTCCTTTGCTGAGATTACGTTTGCATCACACCCAGTAGACGTTTCCTTAACTCCACTGATAACGTCTCTTCTTTCCAGGCAAAGTGTAAACCCACTACATGGATGTGCTGATATTCAGATCTTACCCCATCTTGTCTTCCAGACTCTGTGGCTACCCTCCTTTTTATGACGAAAATGACTCCAAGCTCTTTGAACAGATCCTCAAGGCGGAATATGAGTTTGACTCCCCCTACTGGGATGACATTTCTGACTCTGGTAGGTCCCCCACATGCAGCGCCTCACAGGTGGCCCCTGCACCAATTACACCCAGACCACCTAACCCTGACAAGCCCAGGGGACCATGGGGGGCTCAGAACAGTCCTAAAGTTCCTGTCTTAGTCTCTTTGGGCTGCTTTAACAAAATATCATAGACTAGGGGCTTAAACAACCAACATTTATTTCTCACCACCCTGGAGGCTAGGAAACCCACTATTAAGGTGCTGCCACGTTCAGTGTCTGGTGGAGGCCTGCTTTTTGGTTCATAGACAGCTGTGAACCTCACTGTGTCCCTCTCATTGTGTCCTCACAAGAAAGGGTGAGAATGTTCTCTGGGGCTCTTTTATAAGGGCACTAATCTCATTCTTGAGGGCCATTCCCTGATCTGGGTGCTCCAGGAGTAACTAATACCAGCTGACACTTATTGGGCGCCGACTGTGTGCAGTTTCCTGCTCACTGGTTTGTAACAGTCTGAGTGGGCTACATATGGTGCCCCCCGAGGACAGGTGGCCACAGCACCCAGCCCAGGGCCTGGTGGGCTGATCTGGAACTCAGTGGGTTTAGTTGAATCAGTGATGTCTGACACAGGGAGAGGACATCAGCAAAACAGCTCTCTAGGGAAACAATTAGAGGCACATGATTATGAAGCTTTCTGCTCTCTACTCTGAGCCAAAGGTGTCACTAGCAACTAGAGACAAGGGACTTGGAGCTGGGAAGTTGGGGCCCCAGGCTTGACTTTGCTGCTTCTCATTCACCAATTACCCTCCGAGTCCCAGGTCTTGGCTTTTCCCCAAATGCTGGTGCCTCTTGCGCCCAAAGTACAGTAGGTTCAGGGGAGGGCTGGTCTCATATTTTTCATGCCATGCACCATACTCCTGAAGATGTGGTGGTGTCAGAGTGTCATGTCTCAAGCCACACAGTGATCTTTTTTTCTTTCGTGCCTTCTTTTTGAACAGCAAAGGACTTCATTCGGAACCTGATGGAGAAAGACCCAAATAAAAGATACACCTGCGAACAGGCAGCCCGACACCCCTGGTAAGAAAAGTCACCTGGTGTGAAGACCATGTCATCTGATACCTCCCATCCAGCCCTCTGCTGACTGTTCTCAGTTACGAAATCCATGTTCATCTCATCTCATTCTGGCCAGTGACTTTACTCACCTCTCCTAGCCAGCATGTGAACCCTTACACTCTTAAGACACAGTCTTCTGCAAGCACTCATGAGAAGTTAGTGTGCAAAAAATAGCTGAGTTTTGTCACTCTGCAGAAAGTTTTTAAAGATTATTTTTATTGAAGGTGATCACCCAGTGAGGCATTAAGATTAAGATTGGAGTTTTAATCCCTTGAGTTTATTACTTGGTAGTTAAATGAATTCAGGTTACAAGTTTTTTTTCCTAAGATGCTTCTCAAATTAGTGTTTCTTCAACTCTAGGGGGAGTAATTGATATTTTATGGCATTCTATACCGTTCCAGTGGTATGCTTCAGGCTGCCTTGTTTTGTGCCACTTACTAAGTTAGTTAGAACCCAGCTTCACTATCGACTAGCTGGAATGTTGGTTTATACTTGACTTTTCTGAGCCTCAGTTTTCGTGCTGTTAAAATGTGAATAGCAATACCCAGTCTATAGAGTTGGCATGAGAAATAATGGAGATAAGCATCTAAAGGGTTTAGCACCATGTCTGGTACATGGTAAATGCTGAGTTAAGTGTATCTATTACTATTAAAGCACCAGGAACATGCATTTGGAACCAGATGCCAAGAGTAGTGAAATACCCAGAACGATGGAAACAGAACCTTGAGGTTGGGGCAGTCCCCCAAGACGTACTCCGGAACATGGGCCCCTGTGTGGTCACCCCCTTCTCTAGTGTTCTGCAGGGCCTCCTGCGCTAGTGACCTCCCAAGGGGCCTTCTAACAGGTGGTGTTGTGACCCAGGTTCATGGGATTATAATGAATAAACCGGTCATGTTTGAGTCTCTGTTAGGTTCCAGGCACTGAGATAACTGCTTTAATGAATTAGCTCCTTTTTTCTTTATAATAACCTCGAGAGGTAGGTATTATCTTCATTTCAAAGATAATGAGATAGAAAGAAAGTAACTTAGCCAAGACCGCACGACTGGCTAATGATAAAGCTCAGTTCCTCTCCTTCACCCATGATGAATGGACTCCATAATGAATTCTCTTCACTACCATGCTGAAAGGAGGGGAAAGAGGGAAGGAAGGAAGATGTTGGGGCAGAAGGAAAGAATGTGCTAAGGAAGCAGAATGTGCTGTGATTGCACGGGGGGGTTCCCAAAAACCAGAGTTTATTGATAAAAATGTGTATATTGTTTAAACTTCAGTCACCTCAAAATATTCTCCATCTGATGCAGCACACCCATCGAGATGCTTTTTCCACTGCTCCTAACAGTTTTTGAACTCATCGATTCGGACGCCTTTTAGTGCTTCTGCCGTTTTGTTTTACCTCTTCCACAGGGCAAAACATTTCCCTTTGAGGCCTTTTCATCCTGGGAAACAAAAAGAGAGTCACTTGGGGCAAGATCAGGTGAAGAGGGTGGGGGGGCACAAGCGCCCTGCCATTTTTGGTCAAAAACGGCTGAACACTCAGCACAGTGTGGGCAGATGCGCTGTCATGGTGGAAGAACCAGTCACCTGTTTGCCACAACCTGGGATATTTCTTCTGCAACACAGCCTCTCACAACAACACTATGATGCCAATGGATTCCTAGAACACTTACCCAGGGGATACCTGTGCTACAAGGAGCCCAGCCTACAAAAGATAATTCTGGTGTTTTGGGGTACCCCCGCACATGTCATCTTGAGTTTTTTTTAGTCACTTAATAGGTCAAAGTATATGATGATAAAGATAGTAAAGGTTTTCTTACTTTAGAAACAGCAGGCCTTTAAAGCCGTAAGACTTTTGAGGTGATCTTAGACAGAAGGAAGATGGCCTCCAAGAGAAGGGCAGTGATTTGACCCTGGCATTTCTTCATAATCCAGCCTCGCTCTGGAGAAGGCAGGGAGGCAGCCAGTTAGATCCTGGCCTCTCCTTCACCAGACATTCTAGAGAAACCAAGAGGGGAGAGGTCAGTTTTCCTGAGGGTCTGGGAAGGAGGCACTGTGGGCTCAACAGAAAGTGGAGCCCGAGCTGAGCCGAGCCCCGGGAGCCTTGCCCCGCCACACCAGCAGGGAAGAGACGGAGTCTAGCAGGCGAACAACCCCGGGCCACGACGTGGGGCTTAAAGCTGCACATCCACTCATGGCGCCACAAGCACGTGGCATTCCAGAGTGCGAGTCGACAAAGGAGGCCGGAGATGAGACTAGAAAGGAAGGCAGGGCCAGCAGGGTTCTGGCCTGGCCTGCTTGATTCCATGTCCTGGCCTCACCACTCGTGACCTGCGTGGATGAGCTCCTTAGCCTTCTGGGCTGCTCCTGTGGAATCAGGGTCATGAATAACAACAATATACATCCCATGAGGCTTTTCAGGGGTTAAATGAGATTATACATTTAACAAAAGAGAAGAGTCTCTGGCGCCCAGCACATACGATATGTGTGGGCTGCTTTTATTTTACTACGGTCCTAAGGAGTCTGTACTTTCTCCTTTGGGCAGTGGGGCCCCTGACAGGTTTTAAGCAACTGAGGTTTGATTTTAGAAAGCTCAGCCCGGGCCAGAGGACGAGTGGCAGGAGATGGTAGGTGGAGGTGTGGAGGAAGGTGCAACCCAGGGAGGAGAGGCTGCTGAGAAAGAGGGTGAGGGGGTCTCCCAGTGACATGGAAGGGATGGAGAGGGATGTGGGTGACACGAGTGGAGAAGCCACAGGCGTTGGGCAGAGCATTGGTGGGCTGGGGTGAAGAAGAGAGGGATCTGGGTCAGTCCAGAGAAGGAGAGGGGTCTGGGATTCGTCCCAAGGAAGAGTAGGGTTCAGGATGACTACCAAGTTTCCAGCATAAGGGCTAGAGAATGCTTGTGCTGGGAGGGACACAGGCTTTGGGAGCGTGACTTTAGCCTGGGCTTGCTGGACGGTGGGCTCTGGAGCTCTGGATGGAGATCTGTGGTGGGCGCTCTGCCAAATGGGTCTGGAACCCAGGAACAAGGTCAGGCTAGAATCAACAACCTCCCAGTCATCACCCCGTGTCGCCTCACAGATAAGTTCACATGGGAGCGACACCAGTGAATGCCAGATGTAGAAGGCATTTTTTTGTAAAGTGCTGTATCATTTTTACTATGCAGTTCAAACCTTCTAGGAACTCAAACACTGGAAAATGATAAAAGCGAATGCATTGACCCAGGCTTGGTGGAAACGTCTCACTTGCCTGCATTTATGATATGCTTGTCTCTTTTATGTAAAATTGCCCGACTCAGCAGGGAGCCCACAGAAAGTGTGGTCATTCCTCCATAGATGCTGCCCTGGAAGCTGTGGTCTCGGCATACTCACTGCCCCCAGAGTACACCTGTCATTCCTTACTTGCTCTTCAACTGCCATCAGGGCCACCCGGGCTGGGAAGGCCTCGGAAGTCGTGGACACTTTCCCTTAGGCTCAAAACAGACCACTCCAGACAGGAGAAGGCTCTTGTCAAAGCTCTTCTTCCGGGAGGCAGTGAGCCCTCTTACCAGAGGTTCTCAGGTCCCTTGCACTTGGTGGCCAAAGCACAGGGAATGGCCAGTGGCAGGACGGGAACTCGGGCCCTGCCATAGGACAGCACCTCACTGGAGTTCATTCATCCAGGCCAACCGTCCTGGGAATCTGCTTCCAGCTGCATTGACAAACAAAAGTAAAGCGATGCAGAGAGACTGAGAGAGAGAGAGGTTAATGTGTTTTAAGGAATTAATACCTTGGTTCGCGGGATTGCAGGGCTTGCAAATCCTCAGTCTGCAGGACAGGCCAGCAGGCTGGAGACCCAGGGGACAGTGAGGTTGCAGCTCTGGTCCAAAGACAGTCTGGAGGCAGCAGGCCCTCCTCCTCTTTTTGCATAGGCCTTCAACTGATTGAATGAGACCCACCCACAGTGTAGTCACTAATCGACTTGACTCAGAGTCTACTGATTGAAATGTTCATCCCATCCAAAAAATACTTTCACAGCCACATTCATACTAGTATTTGCCCAAAAGTGTCTGGCTACCAATGGCCTAGCCAAGTTGACTGCAAAATTAACCGTCACTCTCCCGAATGTTCCCTGAGACCCTGCTCCCCTCTTCTGGGATGCAGGCCAGGCACCATCAAGTTTACCTTGAGCAAGTGGGCGAGAAGGCCGGCTCAGAGACATGGAGGTCGAGTAGACGATACGAAGCACAAGAACACCAAAGGCTTGGGGGGACAAATTTGCTGATCTGAGCAGAAGGACACAGTAAGACAAACCTTGGAAGGTGCGGCTGTGTGAGTTCCATCTCCACTGTTTGTGTAGGTCGCAAAACCAGAAAACAAGGAAAGCAGGCATGAACTGTTTGCCCCTAGTTCTGCCTGGACATGTGTGTAGAGATTTATTGAGGAGGAATTCTGCTGTGCTGAAAGCAGTGAGCACTTCCTGAGACGATCTGGGTGACCACTGAAAACCACATCCAGCTTTAGTTCATCTCCAGTTCTGTTGCTGAATACCACCAAAGTTAGTCACACTGTGCATCAATCATTGTCGTTAACCTCCTAACTTACTGTGAGCAGCAGCCACTGTGGTCACTACAGTGCCCATCTGAGGAGGACCTGGTGTGCTGTTGTGACCCAAGGTGGCTGCACCCTCCCCCACAAGAAGACACGTAACGGGTAGCCCTGGGGTCCCCTTCTGCCCATCTCAACCCACCCAGCAGTAGCACAGCCTAGGACTGTGGGAAGTCAGTGCAAAACATTTCTCAAATCATTGAAAGGGTGCATTTTCCTCACATCTGGGCCCACGTCAGCCCACAGAGATGGCATGGGACGCAGTGTGTGAGGCCACACCACCATTGGGCAGGTGGAAAGGAAGCCGGAGGCTCCCTGCCTACCCACTGGCCCATTTGCTTTGGAGCAGGGCTCAGCCCGCGGAATCCCACACTTCCTTCCACTCTGGCCCTGTTGTTTCCAAGAAAGACCTGGCCACCAACAGGCTTGAACCGGCGTCCTTTTCTGAGGATGTAGCTTTTAAACACAGTCCAGGGGGAAACACTCACATGAGTTGTCTAGGAGAAAAAGCCTAATAAAGATCTCTCCGTTCCCCTCCCCTCCCCTCCTCCTTCTCTGGATTTGGATGTGTCTGCCCATTCAAATACCCTACTTCTATTTCAGTGATGTGTATCTGAGAAAGGGGGTGATTGGCAGCTTTAGAAATAAAAACCTGCCTCATTCGGGTACTTTCTGAGTGTCCTCTTGGCTGTGTGTTTTCAGCCCTGCTGGGAAAGGAGAGGAGTGCATATTTGTTGCGGGGGGGGGGGTTTGCCTTCAGCTGGAAATATGGGACTGGATTCTAAACTTGGGCCAGGCTGGCACAGCCTCGAGGTCTAATCTGTCTACCGTGTCTGCAGTTCTGAAGGGAAGGAACACCTGGGTGGGATGCTTTCCTGTCTGAGGAAGCCCTGAGCTTGCTCCTTTTGTTCCCCAGAGCACTTGGAAGTCATAGTGGCAGCGTCTGGGCTGGTTGGTCCAGGGCTGTCTGGGTCTGGGAGATGAAAGGCTTCCTCGCTTGCCAGTTGCCCTCAGCCAGGAGGGATGCTCCCTGACCACGGCATCCACCCCGTCACTTCTCCAGGAGTCAGCACATTCTTTCTTAGGCGTCAGATCCCAGCCCAGACTTTAATGGTTTGGTGCTGGAGGAAAGGCAGGATGGAAGGACCGAAGCCCAGAAAAGACTAAGCGCAGGACACAGCAGTTCTAGGGGGAGGCCCAGCGGTCACGTGGAGGAAGAGAAGATGTTGTGTCAAGAAGGGCGTGCCAGCCGGGCTCGGTGGCTCAGCCTGTAATCCCGCGCCTTTGGGAGGCTGAGGTGAGTGGATTGCCTAAGCCCGCGGGTTCGAGACCTGC